GATGTACCACAGAGACCGTTCGATCCTTCTCCTGTGAAAAGGACATGTGGATGTAGAAGGAGTGAGACCATGTCAAGTTCCAGATTATCAGGACTGGACCATTGTGAACCAGGGAGGATAAAAAGACGATGATTTAAAAAATTTTTTTTACTCAAATCGGATTTTTTTAAATCGAAATTGGATTTTTATCAAATTATTTTATCCACTTGCCCCCCCCCCAGAGGTTTGTACCCCCCCCCTCCCCTTCCTGACCAGGCCATATTTTGCGTTGCGGCGCTGCGTTGTGCACCTTAGGAGATAATTGCGCGGGGCTCAGGGATGGGGGACGCTGCACCCAAATGAAATTTACGTCTTTTTTTTTCCCCCATAGTGAGCTTTTCCTGTGGTATTTGATCGTGGGGAAAAACCACTAAATTTCATTTGAGTGCAGTGTTGCATGACCGCGCAATTGTCGGTTAAGTAACGCAGCGCCGTATCGCAACAAAATGGCCTGGTCAGGAAGGGGGGGGGGAATCCTGTGTTGGGCAAGTGGATAATTGTTTATGTGACAGTTATTAGACTCTACAAATGGCGGTATATATACTGGAATTTTTAAATTTTTCAATACTAGTAGTGGCGGCGATCAGCGACTTACAGCAGGACTGCGGCGGGCATTCTGATCCCACTGGGGGGGGGGGTGGGGTGACTTGGTGTCACTGACATCCCCAGTGACACCAATGCAGTGATCATGCTAATAAAAAGCACTGACACTGTACTAGCAGGAAGGGGTTAACATGAGGGGGCTGATCAAAGGGTTAACATGTGTGAACTGTGTGTGTGACACTGTTAAGGAGCTGGACTTTGTATGGCTCTGCTGTGCTATGCAGAGCCATACAAAGCAGTGTGAAGGAGCTGACAGGGGAGAGATCTGTGTTGTTTAGATACAGACCCCCCCCCCCCAAAAGTGATGCTCAGCGATCGCTGGGTACCGGTGGGGAATCGCCAGCCGGGACCCCAGTGATCTACAGCCGAGGCTGCCAGTGGCGTGCGGGTAGCACGTATGTGTGTAGATATATATCTATATCTCCATTCTTTTCATTGGGAAGGTGCGTTTTTGATGCCCTTTTTAAAATACATTTTCTATTCATTTCTATGGGATAAGGTGCGTTTTTGGTACAGTTTTCGTAAGTTTTGATGCATTTTCCGTTCATTTAACCACCTCCCACCCTCCATGTAAGGTAATAAACGGGCAGGCGATGGTTCTCTCATTCTGGGAGGATGTCATATGACGTCCTCCCACTCTAGTTGGTGGTGCGCTGTGTCTGGGACTGTCTGGGACACAGCGGATCAACGATCGCAGTAAAGAGCCGATGACGTCGACTGTATCATGTGATCAGCTGTGTCCAATCACTGCTGTCCAAAATAGAAAATGCCGGTTATCAGCAGTGCTCGCCGGTAAGTGGCATTCCTCTGAGGGGACAGCTACACTGATCATCAGTGTTGCCCCATCAGTGCCACCTGTCAGTGCCCACCAATGCCACATACCAGTGCCCATCAGTGCACACCAATACCACATACCAGTGCCCATCAGTACCACATACCAGTGCCCATCAGTGCGCACTAATGCCACATACCAATGCCACATATCAGTGCACACCAATGCCACATACCAATGCCACATATCAGTGCACACCAATGCCACATACCAGTGCCCATCAGTGCACACCAATACCACATACCAGTGCCACATATCAGTGCACATCAATGCCACATACCAGTGCCCATCAGTGCACACCAATGCCACATACCAGTGCCCATCAGTACCACATACCAGTGCCCATCAGTGCGCACCAATGCCACATACCAATGCCACATATCAGTGCACACCAATGCCACATACCAATGCCACATATCAGTGCACACCAATGCCACATACCAGTGCACATCAGTGCCACATACCAGTGCCCATCAGTGCACACCAATGCCACATACCAGTGCCCATCAGTACCACATACCAATTGCCCATCATGTGCACCAATGCCACATACCAGTGCCCATCAGTGCACACCAATACCACATACCAATGCCACATATCAGTGCACACCAATGCCACATACCAGTGCCCATCAGTGCACACCAATGCCACATACCAGTGCCCATCACTGCACACCAATGCCACATACCAGTGCCCATCAGTGCAAACCAATGCCACATATCAGTGCACATCAGTGCTACATACCAGTGCACACCAATGCCACATACCAGTGCCCATCAGTGTACACCAATACAACATACCAATGCCACATATCAGTGCACACCAATGCCACATACCAGTTCCCATCATGCACACCAATGCCACATACCAGTGCCCATCAGTGCACACCAAATGCCACATACCAGTGCCCATCATGCACACCAATGCCACATACCAGTGCCCATCAGTGCACATCAATGCTACATACCAGTGCCCATCAGTGCACACCAATGCCACATACCAGTGCCCATCAGTGCACACCAATGCCACATACCAGTGCCCTATCAGTGCACATCAATGCTACATACCAGTGCCCATCAGTGCACATCAATTCCACATACCAGTGCCCATCAGTGCACACCAATGCCACATATCAATGCACATCAATGACAGCTATCAGTGCCCATCAGAGCTGCCTTTCAGTGCTACCTATCAGTGCCATATATCAGTGCTGCCTTTCAGTGCCTCCTCATCAGTGATGCCTGTCAGTGCCCATCAGTGCCTCCTCATCAGTGCTGCCTATCAGTGCCGCTCGTCATCAGTGCTCGTCACTGCAGCCTCATTAGCGCACATCAGTGAAGGAGAAAAATTACTAATTTGCAACATTTTATTAACAGAAACTAAGAACAAACTTTTTTTCCCCCAAATGTTGTCTTTTTTAGTTTGTTTAGCAAAAACTAACACACCCCCCCCCCCCAGAGGTGATTAAATACCACCAAAAGAAAGCTGTCTGTCTCAAAAAAGGATAAAAACTTAGTTTGGGTACAGTGTTGCATGACCGCGCAATTGTCATTCAAAGTGTGACAGCGCTGAAAGCTGATAATTGGCAGCTTTAAGGACTGGTCCCCCGCTCCCCATTAAGGATTGGCACCTTTGGGGAGTTTGGGGGGGGTACCTGAAATTGACAGGTACCCACTTCCGCTGCGATCGCGTAGGGTCTGAAGTGGAAGTTGTTGTGGTGTTGATGCATCTTTGACATGTAAAACATGGTGACTCAAAAAAAAAATCAGGTCACTCAAAAAAAAATGCACCAAAAACACTACCACTGTGCATTTGTATGTGTGTTTTTGACACATTTTCCATTCATTTCAATGTTGCATTTTTGATGTGTTTTTGACACATTTACTATTCACTTCAATGGGAAGTGTTGTTTTTGTTGCGGTTTTGATGTGTTTATGATGCGTTTTTTCAATCCTTTCAATGAGAAGCTGCATTTTTGGTGCGGTTTTTATGCATTTTCCACTCGTTTCAGTGGGAAGCTGTGTTTTTGGTGCAGTTTTGAAGCATATGCTATTAATTTCAATTGGGAGCTGCATTTTGGTGTGTTTTTAATGCATTTTCTATTCATTTCAATTGGGAGGTGCGGTTTTGGTGCGTTTTTAATGCATTTCAATTGGGAGCTGTGTTTTTTAGTGTTTTTTAATGCGTTTTCTATTCATTTCAATTGGAGCTGCGTTTTTGGTGCGTTTTTAATGCATTTCAATTGGGAGCTGTGTTTTTGGTGCTTTGTTAATGCGTTTTCTATTCATTTCGATTGGAAGATGCATTTTTTGGTGTGTTTTTAGTGCGTTTTTCTATTCATTTAAATTGGAAGCTGCATTTTGGTGTGTTTTTTAATGCATTTTCTATTCATTTCAATTGGGAGCTGTGTTTTTGGTGCTTTTTTATTGCGTTTTCTATAATTTCAATTGGAAGATGCATTTTTGGTGTGTTTTTTAGTGCGTTTTCTATTCATTTTAATTGAAAGCTGCATTTTTGGTGTGTTTTTAGTGCGTTTTCTATTCATTTCAATTGGAAGCTGCATTTTGGTGTGTTTTTGATGCGTTTTTCTATTGATTTCAATTGGAAGCTGCATTTTGGTGAGTTTTTTAATGCGTTTCATTTGGGAGCTGCATTTTAGTGTTTTTTTAGATGCGTTTTCTATTCATTTCAATTGAGAGCTGCGTTTTTGGTGCGTTTTTAAATGCATTTCAATTGGGGCTGTGTTTTTGGTGCTTTTTTAATGCGTTTTCTATTCATTTCAATTGGGAGCTGCATTTTTGGGAGCTTCGTCTTTGGCGCCAAGGATGCAGCATGCAGGACTTCTCTAAGCACGCCGCACCTGCAGCACAGTGGTGTGAAGAGTCGCATAGGATATAACGGGGAATCGTTTTTATTGCGTGTTCCTTTGCGTCTTTAGCATGGACCCATACATTGTATTAAACACAAAACTAAAGCCGGCCATAGATGGTTCAAATCTCAGACAGTTCAGCAGGGACCGGCAGAGATTCAGTCCATGTGGGCAGCATTTTTGGGGAGGGGTGGGCCTGTAAACGCATGGACACATAGAGAGGCATTTACGCACGTTAATACTGAAGGACGGCTACAGTGTGGTTCTCGTTTTCTGGGAGGGGGTCTATAGACATCCTACCACAATGTTCCCCCTGGGGTGCGCATCCGGCACGCTCTGTGACCTCTGGGTCCTTTGGACGCAGCTGATCACAGATTGCAGTAAAGGGCCAATCACAGCGACCCTTTAATATGTGGTCAGCTGTGTCCAATCACAGTTGATCACATGTAAACAGACTTGCCTGTTAGCAGTCTTCCTCACACACTGTGACTGTGTGAGGAAGGGACAGACGATACCCAGCTCGGCTGTCAGCACTTTGTTTACACTGATAATTAGGACACTGATCATCCATGCCCATCAGAGCGTCCTCATCCGTGCCCATCAGAGTGTCCTCATTTGTGCCCATCAGAGTGTCCTCATTTGTGCCCATCAGAGTGTCCTCATTTGTGCCCATCAGAGTGTCCTCATCCGTGCCCATCAGTGGGTCCTGATCCGTGCCCATCAGAGTGTCCTGATCCGTGCCCATCAGAGTGTCCTGATCCGTGCCCATCAGAGTGTCCTGATCCGTGCCCATCAGAGTGTCCTGATCCGTGCCCATCAGAGTGTCCTGATCCGTGCCCATCAGAGTGTCCTGATCCGTGCCCATCAGAGTGTCCTGATCCGTGCCCATCAGAGTGTCCTGATCCGTGCCCATCAGTGGGTCCTCATCCGTGCCCATCAGTGGGTCCTCATCCGTGCCTATCAGTGGGTCCTCATCTGTGGGTCCTCATCCATGCCCATCAGTGGGTCCTGATCCGTGCCCATCAGAGTGTCCTGATCCGTGCCCATCAGAGTGTCCTGATCCGTGCCCATCAGTGTATCCTCATCCGTGCCCATGAGTGGGTCCTCATCCGTGCCCATGAGTGGGTCCTCATCCGTGCCCATCAGTGGGTCCTCATCCGTGCCCATCAGTGGGTCCTCATCCGTGCCCATCAGTGGGTCCTCATCCTGCCTATCAGTGGGTCCTCATCTGTGGGTCCTCATCCATGCCCATCAGTGGGTCCTCATCCGTGCCCATCAGAGTGTCCTGATCCGTGCCCATCAGAGTGTCCTGATCCGTGCCCATCAGTGTATCCTCATCCGTGCCCATCAGAGCGTCCTCATCCGTGCCCATGAGTGGGTCCTCATCCGTGCCCATCAGTGGGTCCTCATCTGTGCCCATCAGTGGGTCCTCATCTGTGCCCATCAGTGGGTCCTCATCTGTGCCCATCAGTGGGTCCTCATCTGTGCCCATCAGTGGGTCCTCATCCGTGCCTATCAGTGGGTCCTCATCTGTGGGTCCTCATCCATGCCCATCAGAGTGTCCTGATCCGTGCCCATCAGAGTGTCCTGATCCGTGCCCATCAGAGTGTCCTGATCCGTGCCCATCAGAGTGTCCTGATCCGTGCCCATCAGAGTGTCCTGATCCGTGCCCATCAGTGTATCCTCATCCGTGCCCATCAGAGCGTCCTCATCCGTGCCCATGAGTGGGTCCTCATCCGTGCCCATCAGTGGGTCCTCATCCGTGCCCATCAGTGGGTCCTCATCCGTGCCTATCAGTGGGTCCTCATCTGTGGGTCCTGATCCGTGCCCATCAGAGTGTCCTGATCCGTGCCCATCAGAGTGTCCTGATCCGTGCCCATCAGAGCGGGCCCTCATCCGTGCCCATGAGTGGGTCCTCATCCGTGCCCATCAGTGGGTCCTCATCCGTGCCCATCAGTGGGTCCTCATCCGTGCCTATCAGTGGGTCCTCATCTGTGGGTCCTCATCCATGCCCATCAGTGGGTCTCATCCGTGCCCATCAGAGCGTCCTCCTCCATGCCCATCAGAGCGTCCTCCTCCATGCCCATCAGAGCGTCCTCCTCCATGCCCATCAGAGCGTCCTCATCCATGCCCATCAGAGCATCCTCTTCCATACCCATCATAGCGTCCTCCATGCCCATTAGAGCGTCCTCATCCGTGCCCATCAGAGGGTCCTCATCCGTGCCCATCAGAGCGTCCTCATCCGTGCCCATGAGTGGGTTCTCATCCGTGCCCATGAGTGGGTCCTCATCCGTGCCCATGAGTGGGTCCTCATCCGTGCCCATGAGTGGGTCCTCATCCGTGCCCATCAGTGCGTCCTCATCCGTGCCCATGAGTGGTGTTCCCATGTCTCATCTGTGCCCATTGAGTGGGTCCTCATCCGTGCCCATGAGTGGGTTCTCATCCGTGCCCATGAGTGGGTTCTCATCCGTGCCCATGAGTGGGTTCTCATCCGTGCCCATGAGTGGGTCCTCATCCGTGCCCATGAGTGCCCCTGATGGTCTCATCCGTGCCCATGAGTAGGTCCTCATCCGTGCCCATCAGTGTGTCCTCATCCGTGCCCATGAGTGTGTCCTCATCCGTGCCCATCAGAGCGACCTCATCCGTGCCCATGAGTGGTCCTCATCCGTGCCCATCATGGGTCCTCATCCGTGCCCATGAGTGGGTCCTCATCCGTGCCCATGAGTGGGGTCCTCATCCGTGCCCATGAGTGGGGTCCTCATCCGTGCCCATGAGTGGGTCCTCATCCGTGCCCATGAGTGCATGGTCCTCATCCTGTGCCCATGAGAGGGTCCTCATCCGTGCCCATGAGTGGTCCTCATCCGTGCCCATCATAGGCTGACCCTCATCAATGCGGCCATCCATGATCCGTGCCCATGAGTGTGTCCTCATCCGTGCCCATCAGTGTGCGTCCTCATCCGTGCCCATGAGTGGTCCTCATCCGTGCCCATCAGTGGGTCCTCATCCGTGCCCCAGTAGAGTGTCCTCCATGAGTGGGTCCTCATCCATGCCCATCAGTTGCGTCTCTATCCATGCCATCATGTGGTCGTCCTCCGTGGCCATTACAGGAGCCGTCCTCATCCTGTGCACCATCCAGAAGGTTCTCATCTGTGCCCATCAGTGGGTCCTCATCCGTGCCCATCAGTGGGTCCTCATCCGAGTGCCCATGAGTGGGGTCTCATCCGTTGCCCATGAGGTGGGTTCTAATCCGTGCCCATGAGTGGGTCCTCATACCGTGCCCATGAGTGTGGTCTCATCCGTGCGCCATCAGTGTGTCCCATGATCCTGTGCCCAATCGAGTGCGTCCTCATCAGTGCACATCATGTAGGTGGGTCCTCATTCTGTGCCCATGAGTGGGTCCTCGATCCGTGCCCATGAGTGGGTCCTCATCCGTGCC